CTGTTATTGGTACTGGCCCTTCTCTGAGTGCTGTGCTTTGTAGCAAGCAAAGCACAGTATCCCACATGCTCCTTGATCCCTGTTCTCAGCCTAAGGTGCTCATAGTCTAAAGCAAGTGTGGCAAAGCCACAAAATAATTTAGTTATGGAAGACCAGAGATAGATAACTTAGTATGAATAAAAACTCTAAGAAAGAAAAGAAAAAAAATGAGTAAAATCTATTTTAGTAAAGATACCTTTTGCCTGAAAACTAGATCTATAACTGGGATCCTCTTCTTTCTTTGTTAGATATTCTCCACTCAAAGGCAACACTGTTTCAGCCTAGTTCTACCACTAGTTTTTGCTCCAGCCACGTGCCATAAAGGCAGCACACCTCAGAGGGAGGAAACTCAATCTGGTTCCCTTTTCTGCCTCAGGAAAAACGGGTGTCATATTTCAGTTACAGCCCTGCAAATAGGCATTCACAGGGGTCAGTGAAAGAGCAAATATGTTATTTTATGAAAGCAAATAGTCATATGAGCCGAAAAGAACGTAGTTTTTATCTTGGCATGGATCCTCAGTCTGAGATGTCAGTTTATTTAGTGATACAGACAGGTTTTGTCCAGTTCTGGCATAGATTTGCATTCCTAGTGGTCACTGCCAAATTAGCAAGAGCACATCATAATGCATTTCTGGTATGTGCCATTGTCATGCCTCGTAGTGTTGCAGTTTGTATGGCATCTGCATTGTCATTCTGGTACATTCTAGAATGTCATTGTGATGATATTTCGGATGTTTGTTCCTGTGGGGGCAAATGACTGCTTCCAAGGTCAGCCACCAGCTGCAGGGACAATCTCCTGAAAGCACCACACCACATCACTGCCAGCCCAGCCTGCTCCTTGTAAATGAGCACTGTGAAAGCAATACACAACCTTCTGCTTTCTCCTGAGGCGGCAGCAGTAGTGACACTGCAACTCCTGTTGTTTGTGAAGGGGAACTCTACGTTATCAGGGCTTCTGCTGCTGAGAGATAGCTTTCTTGTTCACTGTAGGCAACAAAAAACCAGGACACTCAATATGTGGGATTAACTGCATATCTGGTTGAAATGACAGCTTTGAGAATTTATTAGAGATGATGACTGTGCAAGTTTGCTTGTTCCACATTGTACCTGTTTCAAGAGTAAGTATTGACTGATTGCAAAGGGTCTTTCTGTGAAAATTAGAATATTGCCATTGAAGGCAGAATTTCAGTGTAGAACGGTCATAGTTTACGAACATTTGTGTTGAAGTGAAGTCATATTTGATGCCGAAGATGATCCTTGTGATAGTGCCTCTGTTTCTTGAGAAGAGTTTTTAAGTTAACTCGCTATTGGTGACCTCTGATTCATTTAATTGTTCTGTGAAATCCCTTGCAGATGATGAAAGATGTCAGAGTGATTCATGAGAAGGTGTTAATTATTTGAAAAGCTCTCATTGACGCTTGGGGCATGAGAGATCTTAATCTTGGCTGAAGAGATTTCTTTGACTATATTGAAAATAATGATGAGGTATATATTCTTGTCCACTGCCTCCTCTCTTCCTCCCTGCTTCCTCCAAATATTGTCTTGCTTGATCAAAAAAAGAGAGAATAGTCTTTTATCAGAATTGCCATTATATGACCTTTACTTCGCACACCTGAGTGTGTGGCAGTACACAACATCCAGAGCTCTCCCAAGTTTCCAGTCTACACCTGCCTGAGATCCATTGATATTGACAAAGTCCCTGGGCTCCATTAATATTGATGAAGTTTCCAAGTCTCTGATATATGGTGGTGCTCCTTTTAGCCAGATTCTCCTGCTCATGAAGCTACTCAGTAACAACTTTGGCCATCACTAAGACTTCCTAAATTTGTACTTTAAGCATTCTTATGGCATGAACATTTGGCCATCTGAAGAAAAGATAAAGGGCCTCCATGATGAAAACTGACTCCTCTGCTTCCTTGGGAATATTATGCTCACCTGCTGTTTTTAAATGATATTTGCAAAGTAAGGGGTCAGGGCAGAATGAGAACTGTATGGAGGCGAACTGATTTTCAATTTCTTATGACCACTGTAAAGGTGCAAAATCCCTGACAATTGTTTGCTTGTCTTGAGGACTACAGCTTTCTGCATGTCCTGCTTCTGCTTGCTGCTTTCCTCTTGCAATCCTACCCTGAAGTGTAGTTCCATGGCAGCCCAGCTATGCTGAACTTTGTTGAGCCTGTCTCGCAGTTTCTAAAATTCTGAACCATAAGTACATGAAACTGGAAAGACAGTATCTACCATGTTAACATTATGGGGTTGGAGAAGGCAGAGATATGTTAATTTCCATGCAAAGGCTTGTTTCAGAGATTATTTTTATGCTCCTATTTTATATTTTGTTAATTTGGAGGCTGAATATTTTTTCTTACAAGTTGTGTTGAAACTGATAGGTCAAACAAGCAATGTGGAATTTGGCTGTAAACATGTTTCCTAACAAAAACAGACAAAATCAAGGCTTCTTGTGAATTGTGGCTCTCTAAATGGAGAAGTTTTGGCTAGAAATTGCCGTAGTAAGAGGTTTTTGTGGTAGGTCAGTAAGAGACAATGGAAGTGGTACAGCTTGAAGAACATACACAAAATGGTGGAAAAATTGAACCTGACATCCTCCAGATTAATACTGGATGTATGCTCTTGAATGAGTCAAAGGGAAAAGAAATTACTGTTTTGGGGTCATAGATGAGATACTGATATTATAAATAACCAGGCTGTGGTTAGGTGATTCCCCACATTTGACATGCCTGTGCAAAACTCTTCAGTATGAGAGAGTTGTTGTTGCTGATCCTAAACTCTCTGGTTTAACTGTTGACCCTTCTGAGTTATCTCCAGTATTCACACCAAGCCAGCTGGGCTGGTTGGTTGAGCACTAACAAAGTGTAAATATTTACTGCCTAACAAATCTAACTTCTCTCATTTTGGTAGAGTCCCATGATTGATTACAGCTCTGCCTTTCATTCTGCAAATATATTTACATCAGTTATATAAATACATTTATCAATTCTTAATATTCTTTGAGAAGGAAGTAAACATCTTGCCCTCCTTTCATTACATTTTAATTTGTGAAGCTCTACTTGCTCTTAAAAGATAGCTGGATTTTCCCTGTTCCCAGTTTTATGTCACCAAAGTACTGCTGGCATTCTTTATTTCAGGTCTACAATATATTAAAGACCACTTGCTCCCTGAGAATGCCTGGATACTTTTTATCCCATGCTGTGCTGGTTTGGCTGTGGTAGAGTTAATTTTCTTCAAAGTAACCGTGACACATGATAGAGCCCTGCTGTCCTGGGAATGGTTGAACACCTGCTTGCCCATGGAAAATGGTGAATGATTCCTTGTTTTGCTTTGCTTGCATGTGCAGACTCTTCTTTACCTATTAACTATCTTTATCAGAACCCATATGTTTTCTCACTCTTACCCTTTTGATTCTCTCCCCCATCCTACCACAGGGAAGTAAGTGAGCCAATTTCACTGCAATTGAATAGAATTTTTTCTCCTACTCTGGCAGTTCAACTCCCTGCAGTCTGGGAATTATACTCGATTGCTACTAACCAAGGTGCTCAATGCAGGCTGATTTTCCAGTGGTGCTTGTCCTCTTAGTGCTATCCAGGCCACTGAGGTGCTTAACAAACTGGCCATAATTTTTTTTGTGTGTGTGTGATTTAAGTTTGATGTGGAAACACTATTTTGTGAGACATATTGTTTGATAGTACTCCAAAATGTTTAGTGGGCACTTCTCTGTAACAAGTAAACTTGAAGCCATAGATTCCATTTTTACTGCATGTCTGATACACAGAATATATGTATTTGATAAATGTGTGTGTACCTATAATGCACAGCCGACACATGCCATGTAGAACTGTATGTAGTGTGTAATGTGCAAACACATCAGGACATATATTTAATCATTCAGAAGAAAAAATGTTCTCCACACTCTTCATTAACATTAATTTATAGATATTTAGGGTTAGTTTATGGTTCCTAAGTGATAGACACATTCTTAGGAAATGTCATGAAGTGATTCTTTTTAAGTTTTTATATATGCCAAGTATTTGTCAAAACAAGTGTCAGCTGTTCTCTGCTGTTGTACATGCTTACACTATGGAACCCTCCTTATTCTCTGTGTTCTTATTAACAAATAAATGATCCACTATTTTGTCTCCTAATACTCTGTATAAACCACCCTTAGCACTTTTCAGATGGCCTGTTGATGTGGAATAATTACTAGGTGTTTTCCAATGAAATTCTGTTGGTTAATTAAATGTGAACAGTCTGCATGTTGTTTGTTTAACTGTCCTGGTTCCTGTAAGTAAGAATGTCCTTGTCTTGCCCTGACTGGAGAACGGCACCGCTGTATCGCAGGTGGGAAGGAAGAGGGAAACAAGGGGACTGTTCCTGTAACTGGCACTGACTTCTGATTCGGGTCATCTCAGATCAAATTCCAGTTACTACAAAGCCTTCAGCTGTGACTTTAACCAAATCCTTTTGTTCACTGCAGGTCTCTCAGAGATTGGACTCTTTTGGAATGGGGACTGACTCTTATTTTATGCCTTGGAAACAGGACTGAGATTTTCCTGAGCTACTTTGCATCCTCCTTCAATGAAAAGAAAAAAAATAATAATAATAAAAAAAAAAAAAACAGCAAGATTTCATTGAAGTACAAATGTTTCACTGAAACAGATAATTTCACGGTACTTCAGGTATTGATCATGTCTAACAAAGTGTCAGCACGACCCCCCGCCTGTATTAATGCCCCGAGGGTGTAAGCGCTGTTGAGCGTCCCTCACACGCTCCGGGCACAGCAGCCCGTAGGTAGGCGGGCGGGCGGCCCGCTCCCGCTCTCTTCTGCCGCTCCCGCTCCCTTCTCCCGCTCCGCAGTGGATCGTGCCGTCCACACTAATCAGCAGCGGCTCCCGTCATTAAAGGGGCCGCCGCACCCTTCTCATTTCCCAGAGGAGGGGGCCCGGGTGTTCCGTCCCCGGGGATTCCGCAGCTCGGCACGGTCTGACCGGGGCCGCTCCGCCACCCTTTGTGCTGCAGGCTGCTTTAACCCCTTCTGCGCCCTTCAGAGTTGCAGCAGAGGCTTGCGGGGAATAATCCCAGCTGGTCCAGATTATTATTTATCGCTAATTTTGCAAAAGAAATTTACTTGTCTGATTGCCTTTTCATCCACACATTGTCCTTATCTGCACAGCATCTTGTTCTGACCTCCCTTCCTTCTCATCCCATGTCTCTTTCTAGCAGCCACAAAAAAAATCCTTGCCTGTGATTCCTGCCCTTTTGTTTGGATTAAGCAGCTATTATTCCCCTTGTTTGAATACCATTTCTGCAAAGTGTTAAACTTGTTGATCCAACCTAGGTAAGGCCCATATCTTTACCCTTTTACTTTTCAGCCTTTCCTCAGTCTAATGACTTGCCTCTCTGCTGTTCATCCATCTGCTTTTACATGACCCTGGCAATCCTTTCATTTCCTTGCCTTGGTTTCACACGCAATTCACGGATGCGAACTGGCTTTGTATATTCATATAACACTGCTTTTAAAGGATTATGCTTACTGAGAGTGTAGAGAGTTTTCCTTTGTTAAAATCATTAGTTAAAGCCCATTATGAAGTTAATGGTGCAGTAAAGCCTAGAAACTAAGACCTTTCTCTAAGCATGATTATTATATAGGTAATGCAGTGCTGTTTGCAAAATATGGTCTTTAATTAGAGGGTCTTCCTCTGCTAGAGGTGTCCTCACATCTTGCTCTCTGAGTTATCCTCTTGTTGAGCCCCTGTGATATATGGCCAGGGCAAGACCTGCCCTGGAGTTTGCTGGATGATACAAACTCTGATTTTCCAAGTACTTTCACATATGCCAAGAAAATTTTTACCTGCTGAATGATTAGAGAACTTAATTTCTGGGTGGAAACCATCACTGACAAATTTCAACTTGGTTAAGATCTGACACACTGCAGAACTTGAAGCTCTTATATATTATACTGAAATTATGAACTTTGACCTTTTGAACATTTCATGCCACAGATTTTTTAACATGCAGTGGATAAAACCATAGAATAAATTAGTATGAAAAGGTCTCATTTAGGTCAACTACTGTGCACTAAATGGTCAACTTCAAAGCTAGAAGGGCCTTTTATAGATATCTTCTGAAGATCTCCAAGAATGATATTACTCAGTCTCTCTTGGCACTTCCTAATGACTGAATCACCCTCATAGAAAGAATGATTTTTTCCTTGAATGTAGCTGAAATTTTCCTTGGTGCAACCTGAATGTTGTCACTTGTCTTTTGCAGTGCCTATAGTGATGAACCTAGATGTCACTTCTGTGGAGGAGCTGCTTAATCTTTTCTGAATTGTGGCCATTCCAGTCTTCTCTGAAATTAGTAAGCAATCTCATAATTTCCTTTCTAATGAATTTTCCCTGTTGACAAATACCCAAAGTTATACTATCAAAATCTGCCCATTTCCCCAATTCATACAGTACTGACAGATAAATTGATAAATGTTTCTGATATAATTAAGTTTTACTAGCAGGCAATTTAGGTCAAAGCTTTAATATAAACTGAGTTGTTATCTAAGGGCCCTGCAGAGAGACTGATGCTGCACTGATGTCATGGGCCAGTTTAAAATTCAGTTGCTTGCAAAGGAGTCCTGCCATATCCCTTTTCCATTGTCCACTTGTTCCAGTCCCCTTCATTGCACCAGCATTCAGGATGTCGCCTGGACCTAAGTGGGGCTCTTTTGTGTCAGCATGGCATGGAGACATCTCAAGCTGCTTATACAGCTGTACTGATGGACTCAGAGCTCTATATCCTTTCTGTGGCCCTGGGAGACAGTGAGGGTTAGTATCTCTGTGCCAGTTTATCCTTATGTGGAGCAGTGGTAATGACAGGAACCAATATCAGTAATGCATTGTGAGATATGCAAGTAATGGTGGCAAGGAAGTGGGAAGTGTTTGTATTTATATGGAAACAATTTCTTCTACAGTCTTGTCGGAACCCAGGAAATTCCTCTGGCTGCCCTGGAGGACTCGAGCCCCTGCCCGGGGGGCTCAGAGACCTTGGCACAGAGCCCAAGACCCTTGTGCCTTTGATCTTGACCCATGGAAAAACCATTACCAACGTTTATATGAAGAATTACAAGTCAAAAGAGTTTAAGTAGAATAATAGTCAGTTTGTCACAGGGTGAAAAATAGATTTTTTGAGGTTTTTAGAATGGGGATTCAGAGGACAAGATGGAGGAATCTGGTCATGTCCAGCCTTTCTCCGTCTTTTTCTCGGCCTCCATCTTCTATTGTGATGTTGGCACTTTTAGATTGGTTTAGAGTAGAAGCTCGCTGTCTAACATAGGTGATAGGTATTGGAAAGCAATTGTAAATATTATAGTTTGTACTATAAAAAGATAACACGACCTCTGAGGGGGCAAAGTGCCTCTGACTGTCTTGCTGAGTGGACCTTGGCAGGCCAGGAGAAATAATTTTATAGGGAAGATACAATAAACAACCTTGAGACTGAGAAATGAAGAGCTCTGACTCCTTCTTCGACTGCTGGGCTGGGAAAAGAGATTTTCTAACCCATCTTGAGGTCACTCTGACCAGCAGAGATTCTGAGAGAGTCTTTACAGACAAATGGGAAGACCCAGTCAGTTTATAATCAAAGGGTGATTTAAAGCTTGTATGAAGGGCAGAGTGTTATAATTGTATTGATCAGGTTATGAATAATACTAATTTTTAGTATATAATACTAAATTGTATGCAGTATATAAATTGTATATATATTATATAATATGAATAATACTAAATTGTAAGATACCAAAATAGTCATACAGTTAGTCCAGTAAGAGTCTAATATTCTGAAAAATATAAATAAATCTATGCTCCTGTGTCTGTAGGTAGATGCACAGGTGTATCTACTGCTAACTGAAAAGCCAAAAATTACTGTTTTCTAATATTTATAATTCTGAATTTCTTAATGTTATTGAGTTTTACCATGTCTTGTTTTTAGTCTACTTCACTGGAAATAAATCTTACTTTAAACAGTCTGTCTGTGCCTTATATACTTGTGTACCATTATTCCTTTGTAACCTCTGGAATAGCTCTCTTTTACCAAAATTAGGGTATCAAGGTCTCAAAGATAATTTGTTGATTTGATAATTTTCATAAAATTATGTTCTGATAACTTGATAATTATTGCTTTGATAATTATCTCATTGAGCCTTTTTTTCTGTTATCTCAGAGAAAAGGCTCCTTTAAATTTAATTAAAATGGCCAACGAAGAAAAAAGATCCAAAGGAGGGAAAGGTTTCAAAGTGAACCTCATCAAAGATCCAGCACAAGAGATGGGTCTTGTTACTGCTCCAGCAGCCTCAATTAGAGTTCTTGGACCTGGAACAACTGCACAAAACAAATCTTTGGGTATTTGTTGTTATTCCATCCATAGAACTTGGTGGTTCCAATGCTCATACGAAAACAAAAAGGTGATGATTTTTTCTTAATTTAAATTAAAACTTTCCCAGCCTGCAGAATTGTGGAGAAATGCTTGACAAAGCTTGATCTTTAAAGTTTTGAAAATGAGAAGATAGTTGAAAGCAACCAGAGTACCCTCTTAAAAAGTGTTGCTGGTCTTCAGGAGTTTTACTCATAACTGTAGTTGTAATACCAACATTTTCTATTTGGCATTTTATTTTTAATGTAATTTCAGGATATTCTTCACTACTTCTGGTAAAATTCCTGCAAACATTTTTTTCAAAAGATGGGAAAAGTTAAATGGGGCAGAAAAGCCATGATGACCTACTGTTTGAGCACTCTGGCTGGTTGTTTTTTTTTTAATTTGTCTCTGTGGTGATTCTGGCACAGCTATGGTCATGGGAAGAATTAACACAACAAACTACTGTGATGTTTGAGAAGACACAGCAGGAGGATCCCCAGCAAACTGATGGCACTGGGATGATTCAGGGTGAGTTACAACAGTGTAAAATGGAGCAGTTAATTTGTCCTGGGATTTCAACCTAATTTTGCTGGGAGGCAGATCTAGAACATTCACCCAGTTGTGGGCAGTAGCCATCTACAAAGGCAAAATGCTTTAAATGCCTTGACCCAGGTCTGCCAGAACTCATTTTACCTTTGCCTAAGGCTGGTACCACATAAAAATCCTTTAATTATCTACTAAAATTGTGACTGAAGAATCATTCCAACCCACAGGTCAGTCTCATGATTCATGATTACCAAAAGCATCTACAGAAAGTACCATGTCATCCTGTCCCCTTAAATTATCCTCTCCTGTGCCTTTGCTATGGGACTAAATCAGTACTACGAAATCATGTTTCAGATTTTTCCAGTCTTCTACTTCCCCTTCCTGCTCTGATCTATACACATGAATTGGCATGACCCAGTTCACTGTCACCAAATAACAGTCATTATACTTGAGAAGACTAGGAAAATGTGCTTTTCTCTGGTAAAAAAAAAAAAAAAAAAAAAAAAAACCAAAAAACCAAACCTAACAAAACCAAAAAACCTTCTTTCATTTTTAAAGGTCATCCCTGCAGGTCTGAGATTAGAAGCGCAGGGAGCAGGATGTGGATGTACAGAGCTGCCTGTCTTCCACCTCTGGAGTGCCAGTCTGTCCCCTTCTGCCAGGGCAAATCTTCTCTGCTTAAGAGCACAGCTGCTCCACAGGCTGGCTGTTCAATCGACAATGATCTCTAGTTTCAAGTGTGACAGCACCGACCTGCTCGATCTCCATTCAGCTGCAGGTGGGGGCAGCGGAAGAGAAAGGGAGGGAGGGAGAGGGAGGACACTGCAACCTACGTGAATAATTGATAGTGCAAGGAAGGGAGAGCAGCTGGGTTCCCTGTCTCCATCTGCTCACCAGCTGGGGATGAGAGATCCTTGCTCAGGTAGGGGATGAACAGCTTAGCTGCTTTTATTCTCGTCTTGCTTGCAATGCCAATTAAAAATATTTTGCATCTAGAAGGAATGGGAGCAAAGAGAGGTGGGGGAGGGTTGATCTAGATCTCTGCTGCTTGTGTGGCGTTGTGTAATGATAGAGTTTGGGGCAGTTTCAGCCTCATCAGGGAAAGTGTGTGTGCTTTTTAGAAGACATTGTGCTATTCTGCATTGTGTGGAGAAGCAGTTGCAGAGAGAGAAATGGAGAGTGGAGGTGGGGAGAGCGGATGTCTGTGTAGGAAATGAAACAAACTAAAGGGATGGGGGGGGCATGAGAGAGGGTCTGCCCAGACTCAAAGGAATCCCACCCTGATTATGTCAGTCCTGGACATAAAATGAGGAGTCCAAGTGCACTGCGGGAGGTGCTGTCTGTGCACACCCGGTGCTATATTTAGAAACTGTGTGCATAGATCTGTGGAAACAGCTGATGTGAGAACATGTGTGTTTCTGTCTGTGGATGCAGCTATGAGTTTGTGTAATATTGAAGTAAAACTTCAAAAAATACAGGTTTTGCCCTGAAGAGTTTACCCTTGAAGGATATACTGCTGTGTTTATGTGGTACTGCGCAGCTTCCGTGGAGCTGCTGATGTTCTTACAATGACTCAATTAACAGAATTGCAGGGACTAGTTTCTGTGTTACAGCTAATACAGACTTCTCCTATGTGAGCAAGAGAAAATGCTAGTGACATGAAACACACTGAAAAAATCTGCTAACAAAAATAGGAAAATACATAGCAAAAGGTATAGACAGCAATTACTGTAATACATATATTAATGTGCCTACAAGGATACCTGAAAGAACAAAAATTTATATCCCAGTCCCTAAACCACGTCATCACTATAAAATGCATAATGATCCATGCAGGTATGGACACATATAGGGATTAAAATCTGAGACTGTAAGTACACTGTATTAGTCATATAAGAACACAAGTATTAATAGGAGCTGAATCTACTTACTACAACAGAAGGCTTATAATAGGGAATATTTTTGTACCAGCAGGGTAAATAGTAACAATTGCTGGCTTGATTGTAAGTTGAGGAACAGAAAGCAGTCCTGTGATTTGCTTACATGTGATTTATTCATATTGCTATTGCTAAAGGAAGTTAATTAGAACAGTAATTAGGGTATTTAATAATTGTTTGCTGTTTTGCTTATGCATGTTGAGGGCTTTGTACACAACTGGAGTTACACAGAAGGTTAGGTAAAGCTGTGAGGCATCTATATGAAAGCTGAGTTCAGTGTGGTTTTGTATGTGAACAAAGTTGGCTCTTGTCTGTAGTGGCAAGCTGCCGAAGAACAAGAATGGCAGAAAGACCTTAGCCTCTCTGTATGCTTTGCTTTCACCATGGCCAGGCTTGATAGCGCTGCTGATAATGACCCTGAGATGGGGGAGGGCAGTAGTTACTGCTGGCAGCCCTCTCTAACAGCAAAAAATAATGTCTCTTCCTCCTTCCTAGATGCAGCAGAAATGGCAAGCTTGGCTCTTTGCCTTGGTCCAGTCACATCTCTACTCAGAGATTCAGGTGAATGAGTAAGACCTGCTTGCGCAGAGAGCAGCTGCTCTATTCAGTGCCCTGGCTCCATTTAGGAGGCATTTGAGTTGGAGTGAGGATGTAAGAATTGGCCCATGCATCAGCATCAGATCTTCTGGGGAATTACAAAAGGTAGACAGAAGGAAATTGAGTCACCTTGTCTCTATGCAAGTTACTAAAAACAGCAAGTGGACCCTTTCTTTGTCAATTCAAAGTCATCACCTATCTTTGATTCCTTACTTGTTACAGTCTCTTTGCCCTCCCACAGATCCTTGAAGTCCCCATAATCATTTCTATCCAGGTCTTTTCAAGAGTAGAATTTATAGGAGGCATAAGGATGAAAATGGTGCATTCGTCCCCAAAACTTTGAAATAACTCCTTGCTCTCTGCATTTTTCTTTTTCCCCCATCTCTATCTGCTAGGTCATATTTTCTGCCTGGTTTGTCTGCATACTGTTTGCACTCTTCCTTACATCTTTTCCTAGCTCTCTGGCAAATTCTGCCTCCTATTCTGTGTTTCCTTATGTCTTCTTCATTAGTTAGGAAAAACCTAGTGTGAGGCTGACATTTGGCATAAGGCTGTAGTTGCTGTTTTTATAGGTCTTGATGTAAAGAGAATAAATGACATCATCCTATGGAATGAAAGTGAGAAGCACAGGGAAAGAAAAAAAACCGTGTCAAGAACTCTGTGTTGTCATTTAAACGCAGGTATATTCATATTCTTTCTATAGCAGACCATGTTCTCATGCTCAGTTGTTTTTCTTTTTAATCAGGAATGACAATCTGTTGATGAGTGAATCTGTTGATGAGTGAATGGAAATACATTTGGTTAAGGCATTTGTGACCTCTGAAAAATTGAGCCTCCCTAGCTTACACATTGCATCAATGAGCTATTTCATAAGGGGTGCAGAGCCAAATTTCTGCGGTCCTTGATGTATGTCAGATCCAAATGACATGGATTTGGATTTAGTGGATGCAGTATCTTCCTAGCCTTCCCTTTAAAAGAATGGGGATTTGTGGAGAACTGCTTTGATGCTCACTTTCCTCACTGGACATTGAGAGCCTGAAGATGTGACGTTGTTCTACACCAGAGTTGAATAAGTGAAACCCGTCTGCTGTCCCTGTCTAACGCCGCGCTTGTGTTACCCTCACACAACCTGGAGAGCAGCGTCCCCGGCTCGGCTGTCCCAGCAGCCGCTCCTGCACGCTGTGCTCCATCCACGGGCTCCCACAGCGGGGGCTCCAGGGGAACCGCTCTGCCACAGCGGAGGAGGGGCAGAAGCCATCACCCCATCCCCCCTTGTCTCCTCGTCCTCCATCCCTCCTCCTCCTCCTCCTCCCCCTCCCCTCCGTGCTCTCCGGGGCCGCTGCCCGCCGGGCCCGGGCCCGGCCGTGCGGGTCCCTTCCCTTTCTATCCGGTGAATCCCGACCCGAGAGGAAGAGGAGGGGTGGGGGCGGGAGCCGGGGCTTCGCGGGGGGCCGGCAGGGAGCCTGTGCCCTTCTTCATGGCGAGGTCGGGGGAGAGCAAGCTCCCGAGGAGGGAACCGGGGAGCTGACTCAGCGGAGCAGTCCAGCATGTTTTCCCGGGAGCACGGCTTCCCTGCCGGAGCTAGCGGAGGGTAGGTACCGCCACCGGGACCGGTGCCGGCGGCAGTGGGGCCTGGGGCCCTGCCTTTCCCGGGCAGCCCGGGGACGGGGCAGGGCAGCGGCTGCCGGCGTTGGGATTGCAGTGCTGGAGCTGCAGGAAGAGCCCTGGCGGGTTGGCTGGAAGGGCGGAGACCCGGGAATGGGGAAGGCGATGGCCGTGCCCAGCCACGCAGGTCCGGCTCTGGCTGTGGGCCCGGCCCTCGCTGCTCCCTCCCTCCGGCCGCGCTCCGGCCGCGGGAGGCGGGCCGTGGGGCGGCCGCAGTGCCCCTCTCCCTGGAAGGAAAGAGGGAGGCTCGGCAAGCTTTCTCCTGCCGTCCCGGGAGTGGGGGACCTCTCCTCTTGGGACTTCTCAGGAGGTGGGAGTGCGGGTTGGATGGCAAGATTAAATTCCCCCTGGAGTTCTCCTTTCTCCTGGCCCGCAAGGAGAGCTGGCGGGGAGAGTTCTCCGGGCCCTCCCGCTACCCTGCCCACCTCTTTGTGCGTGCCCGAAGTCCTGAGCGCGGGCTGCCCACGAGTGGGAGCGGTGCCCCCCGCGGGAGCTGCCCGGCAGCCAGAGGTGGGAGAGAGGTTCCTTGCAGGATGTCAAAAGTCTGTGGGCAGAAAGTTTGTGACCAGCTGAGAGCAAACTGCCTGTCATCTCTAGTGGTATCTTCCTAGTTCTGCTTCAATAATTCCTTCTCTGGAGCTCTAGGAATCCATGTGTAAGCAATTTTCAAAGCTGTATAGGTGTTCTGAGAGTAGGGCTATTCGTGTCATGTTTTCAGCTGTCTCCACCGAATAGCTGACAAATGTATGTGGTAAAGCAAATGCACCTCTCTAAGGCAGAAATAAGGGAGTGAAGGGCAGGAGCTGTTACTCAAGAGAAGTGGTTGCCCAGAGTTTTTCTTATGAGCATTTCAGGCCTGTTCTTGTCTCACATTACCTTCAGTTCTTCTGAATTGCCTGTCCCTTCTAGTGAGGGATTTAAAAATCATATTAGTGTCTCCCTGCAAGAAACTCTTATCAGGCTGGGACACCAGTTATTATGCTCACTGTTGCTCCACAGATAGCTGCAAATCACGCTGTGGTGTTTCTCCTATTGGAAGGCTTCCAGATGAGCAGAAGTATTTACAACAGCTATACACCTGCTTCCATGTGAACTTTCAGGAAAACAGTTGTCTTTGGATTTGGGGCACTTGCCTTTTAGAGTGCAACAAATCCCCATTTGCTGTGGAATATATTTATGAAAGGGTGTATGAAATTCTGTCCAATTTGTGGTTTTTTTAGAGCAGATACTTGCATTGACTTGGTTATTGAACTGGCTCAGCTACAGCAGATAGCAATGATTTTGAAAGCTGGGTAGAGAGATCCTATCACTGAAATAGCAGAGGATGCTGCAAGACAGAATACAAGTCATGAGCAGAGTTGTAGTGGCTTAGAGATGTACAAAAGTTCTTGTTCTGTTTCAGAATTGAGAGTGGAATTTATCAGTGGATCAGCAGTACCTAGATTTAGTTTGACTGCCTGCTTGAAATCAGTGTACTGGTTAGTGTCACTGGCAAATCCCAATCTAGCCTTCAGCATTTTCTAGGCCCTATGCTTCCCCTTATTGCCATTTCCTAAGAATAAAGCTTCAGCAAGTATACATTTGCACATAAATATTCCTCTCCCAATCTGCAGAATTGCTTTCCTTTTTCAGAAGGATGATGTTCTTCTTTTTTGTGGTCAAGGAGTTTGAAGTTCCAATTTGAAAAGAAGTATGTTCCCTTTTTATAATACAGTCCAGTGCTTTTCATTCCAGAAGTTCAAAGTTCCAGAAATTGAATGTGGACTTCAAAGTGATAATTACAATAGCACCAAATTTTTGTGATATTTTATAAAAGATAATGTAAAATCTAAGGCATTCTCTTGGATTTTCAAAGGCCTGTGGCATATTCCTAATTTGGGATAATTACAGAATTGTGAACATCCCTGAATCGACAGTAAGGCTGGTGATTTTGGCATTTACTGGACTCATTTGGTCAATAGAACTGTGCTAGGATTCAGTGGTAAAGAACAGTTTCTGCCTGAAGTTTTCCAGTCAGTCCAGAGTGTTGAGATGATTTTATGGTTAGAGGACAGGGGCAGGACTGGCCACACTGACCATGTAGGATTTCCATGATGCAGATATGTATTTAACTCCTCTGAATGATGCAGCATTCACCTCAGTGACATGCCAAAGAAAACACTAGCATGAAACACGACCCCAGGACATCCAGTTACACAAAAGGTTCTATTGTTACACTTCTTTCTGAAAAAGAGAATTTATCAAATTAAACTTGTGCCTTTTTAGGGCTTACAGAAAAGAATCTTCAGATTTTTAAGAGACAAGGAAAATGTTTCATGTACTGCCTTGGACATAAATTTTGCTCATCCCAAACATTCTTCAAGAAAATGAAAAGGATGATAAATAAAGCATGTATTAGTATAGTATTAATATTAATTTAAAATACATTTGCCATCAAACTATTTCAATATTTATTTGAGGTTGTCAAGACTAACTCCTACGTCTTCTCTCACAGATATTTTATGGCATTAATTTCTGGATGCATTATACAGATCTCTCTCATTTGAATTTCAGGAGAAAACTGTGGGATGGAAGCATTGTGTGTTGATGAGCCTATATGCAAGTTACATTATGCCATTGGGCCACTAAAATGAATTGTGAATTGTCAGAGAACTGGTGAGCATTAGGATTCCTGGAGCTTGTGACAGAGTAGTTTCAAGATTACAGAAATAAGTGGTACCTCCATACAAGAGGGAATGTAGCCACTGCTTTCAAAGCAAGGGTCTGCATGACCACTCTCCTAGCATGGAAGCAGCAGCAGTCGTGCATCCAATAGCTACAGGACAGCAATTCTTGATTGCCTTGTAGGATTATTATATGCCTTGTATGATGGATGCATGGCCAGTGGTGAGTGGTGTCTCTCAGGCTCTTGGACTCTTGTCTTGGGACTGGTGATCTTTGATATCTTTATCAGTGATGCAGGCAGTGGCACTGAGTGCACCCTCAGCAAGTTTGCAGGTGACACAGAGCTGAGGGGTGTGGCTGACACAACGGAAGAAGGGACCATCCAGAGACACCCAAAGTTTCTGAGTACAAACTTCAGAAGTGGTGGTCCTGTGAGAATCTCATGAAGTTCAACAAGTCCAAGTGCAATGTGCTGCACCTGGTTTGGGGCAGTCCCAGGTATGGGCACAGGCTGGGAGATGAACTCATTGAGAGCAGCCCCGTGGAGAAGGACTTGGAGGTTCTGGTAGAGGAAGAGCTGGGCATGAGCCTGCAGTGTCCGCTTACAGCCCAGAAAGCCAAACGTACCCTGGGCTGCATCACAAGAGGAGTGGCCAGCAGGCTCAGAGAGGTGATTTTCCCTCTCTGCTCTGCTCTTGTGAGTATACATGTGGTATACTGCATCCAGCTCTGGGGTCCCCAGCACAAGAGAAATGTGAACCCCCCAGAATAGGTCTAGAGGAGGCCACAAAGATGTTCTGAGGGCTGGAGCTCCTACAAATACAGGCTGAGAGAGCTGGGGTTGTTCAGCATGGAGAAAAGAAGAATCTAGTACTTAGAAGGAGCTTATTTAAAAGGGAGAGTGACTTTTACAGGACAGGTAGTAACAGGACAATGGGCAATGGTTTTAAACTAAAAGAGAAGAGATTCATATTACATATTAGGAAGAAATAGGATAGAAAGAAGAAAGAGGATAGCAAAGCACTGGAACAGGTTGCCCAAGCTGTGGGTGGCCCACCTCTAGAAGTGTTCAAGGCCAGGTTGGATGGGCCCTGAGCAATCTGATGTAGTGGCTGACATCTGGCAGAGGGGTTGGGACTAGATGGTCTTTAAGGTCACTTCCAACCCAAACTGTTCTGTGATTCTGTGACCACCTAATAATCATTTTCATGATTTTAATACAAAGTGGATGAGTCCTGTGTCCTGTAAACCTGTGCATAGTTCCCAGCCCCACCTATGTGGCCTTCACCATGACTTAACCCCAGGTGTGACTGCTAGTAAAAACTGTGAGAGGTGTGGAATGTTCATAAACTAACAGTAGGAGAGGTGCAGCTGGCTGTGGGGCTGGCTGTAGTGCCTTGGGCAATGCCAGATATGTCTTGTGAACTACAGTGTAGTATTTGTGTTGCTTTTTATTTTCTCTTCTATAAAATCAAATAAAGTCCTGCCGCTCTTTGTACCCACTGCTGCTCCAGCAGGGACCGTAGTAATAATATATTTTCCATAGCAGATGTGCAGACAAAGCTCACCTAATCTCCATGCTGCTGTACCAGCAGTGGTAACACAAAACAGTGCCTGCATCTCTGCAGGGTGTTACCGGTTCTGTTCTAGTGCCATCGCTGTTATGCTCCTGTCTTTGAGATTAATACCCAGGCTGTGGCAACTGGGGCTGTCCTTTTGGTGCTGATTTCAGTGATGGTTCAGAACTGCTTTCATCCTTTTTAATGCAGTTCTGTTTTGAGATCTGATTACAAGGCTTCTTATGAGATGTGTCTTAATTCTGCTCCAAATCCATTATGGAAGAGGAACTTGGCAAAGAAAAATCATTCAGCACTTCCATGACAGTTGTGAGGAAAATATTGTTATGTGAGCAGAGACAGAGCAGTCAGAAGCCAGAAAATTTTTGCTGTTACATCCAGGATGTTTGAAAGTGGCAAGTGGTAAATTCAGCCACCTCAGGGATTCTCATAGGTAATGACAGCTTCCTTATAGGCAAGAAACGGCCTGGGGAGAGGAGTAGTATGCAGAGGGCAAAGGAGGCACTGCAGGCAAGCACTGACATCTTGAATTCTCTTACGATTTAATTTTTTCTTTCTTTTGTTTTTCTCTTCCACCTCTGTCTGTTGCAGGAAGTCTGAGGAGGCGGTGCAGGGTTTTAGTGATGTTATAGACTCTCCCACTGAAGGCTTTCCATGTGTCCTCACTCCTGCTGTCCCCAACAAGGTAAAAGCAGTCCATGTTTGGCTCAGGGTTGTTGTATGCTTTGAGTTATGTGTGCAGAGGAATTGACTGAAATCAAGCTTGTGTGCATGTATGTCTTACAGCTGTAGTTGCCTCCCTCTGTGAGAATCCTAAACTTGCTAGTTTGACCAGTTCTTATGCTATTCTATCTCAAGTCAACCTGACCCATTGAAACAGAGAAATTCCTGATACCTGACTGACCTGGATTCAGGTCAAGCTTTTGCAACACAAGCAGAAGACAATTTGGCCACTTGTGTTCTCCATGCTACAAATTAAGGAAGAACAATTTCATCAGGTCTTAGCAAGCAAATAGTTTCTTTGCCAAAATATGGAAGGAGCTGTTGGCTCCTTCAATATCTGGGTTACCACAGAAGATAATGTTAGCTTCTGCAAATGTCAAATTGTTTTTCTGTGTTGTCTTTTCCTTTTCACAGACTGTGGACTTGTTTGAGATGATTGAAAAAATGCAGGTAAGGAGAAGTAATTCTGTCAAACTTTGGGATCTCTTAATTTTTTGTAGCAAACAAATAATCAGCTACTATTTGTCCTGTTGCTTCACTCAAAATTTCCTTTGTTGTGGGCTTACAGAATGTTTAGGGCTTCTAGGCTCAATATCTTACTCTTCAATGGGATTTCAAAAGCATTTTTCTGTGTTCATTTTTTCATGTCAGCATGATGGAAGCAATAGACACAGGTTATTATAATCCTGTCTGTTCTTTTCAGAAGTGTGATTCTGAGAGAAAATCAAAGTTGCAGTAAGTTATCTCTGGCATCTTCTTCAGGAAACTCTGTTCTGCTGGGTAGCAGATATAATGACAGGTGATTAATGGGATGTTAACCTAACTGCATTTAGCAAGGTCAGACAGTTTAATAAATAACTACTGTAGGTCCTGTCTTTAACTTGTGCAAGAAGGAGGGACTCTGGCTTAATTCTTACACAGAAATACATGCATTTGGCTGCATATATTTTGTTATAAACTTAAAACAGGGAAGAGTTGTTTTTTTCCCCCTTTTACTGAATCAGATAAAGACATAATAATATGTGTTAAATACCTAGCAGTGAAGTCTTCATATTTTTCAGATTATGTGTTCTCAGAGCATCCTTGCAGTATTTTCCCTGAGTGGTGCACCTTCTTTAAAGTGCTGCGGTTAACCTTGACCTAGCATAACACATAACATGGCACATAACTCCTGCCTTTTATTATGTACAGGAATTAAACTTACCAAAACAAATTAACTTCTTTTCTGGAATTTGAATGATCAAATTATGAATATGAGGAAAATGTCAGAATTTGGTGAGACTACAACGGTGAGGAGATGGACGGTAGCAGCAAAATGCTGAATTTAGAGTTATGAGGCTGAAGTACTTTTTGGCAGAGTGGAGAGGAGGATGGGAGGGAGGGGCTGAAGGTGTATCTGCCATGTATTCATGCATCCATGTATTCTGTGCAGACAGACACAGACCTTGCAACCACTGCACTGACATCCAAACTGTGTTTGGGATGTGTTCTCAGTGCTTTAGAGTAGCAAGCTGTGTAAGTGTGCCTGGCTCATTTAACTGCAGGAAAGTAAGCTTGAGCAAGCAGTGCTGCTTCAATTCAAGCACATGTTCAAAGGCTGTGATAGTCCTTCCCAGGCCTTTAGAAATATGGATAAGGATGAGTCCCTACCAGGTGTCCCTCAGTGGAAGACTGGTGTTTAAGATTGTCAGTATTTCAGTTTACCATATGGAAAGTCTGACTGGATTTGCACCTCTTTAGTTAGAGAGATAGCAGGGAGCTGATGGGAATCTCTAAGGCATGCAGTCTGCCTAATTTTGCATCTATGATGTTTTCTTAGCTGCCCACTATCAAGACTTTATAGCTTTTTTTTTTAAATTTAATCTTGTTTTGTCACCGAAGATGCACTAGGAGAATCATTAACTGCTGTTTCAGTATAACAGATTTTTTTGAAAGTTAAGTGTTTTCCAAAAGAAAAAAAATTCTAATACTTATTATCTTTGTTTAGATTTTTACTAATTCTTTATTTTCTTTTGTTTGTTTTTGCTTTCCCTTTCCTTCCATTTGACTGTGACTGTCGTTTACATTTGTTGAATCATTCTTGTAAACAAAATCTGGGATTTTCCTTAGCAATCAAAGTGAGTGAAAACCAAAGCAGGAGACTTGAACATTTCTTCTGTAAAATAACAACAAAAAAGCCTCAGGATAGCATTGATTATTGAATACTTTACTATTGGATTGAAATATAATTGTTGGACTGAAAATTAGGAAAGCCATTTCACATTCTGTGTGATAAATTAACAGGTAAAGTTGTACTCTCTTTTTACACTGAAACAAATCCCAAGATCTGGGAAAGAAGTTTACCAATTTTTTCCCTTTCTCATTTTCTTTTTGTTTTTCTTTTTCTCTTCAATTTTATTAATAATTTCTTGGAAATAAATGGCCTACTGGCCACTTTGTTCTGTGCTTACAGATCTAGTGAAGTCACTGTATATACTCTCTTAAGGACATTTAGTTACATGTTGATCCTTGATTGCTTTGCAGTGCAGGCAATTGAAAAACAAGGAAATTTTATTTCATCCAGTAAGCTCAGATATTTCAGGTCTTCGTATGTTTGCATAGCCAGTCCCCTTCACTTGACTGCTTTTGTTCACTCCCTCTGTTCTGCATTCTTACAATTTCTGCATATTCAGTTTTATTTTCTCACAAGTACTTTCATGAGTTTTTTCCCTGTGTCCCCTTTTGTATCCCAGTTGTCTGTTTTGAACTAGTCTCCTCAAGGCACTGCTCTTTCCCCATAAAATATGTGCATTATCTTAGCATTGTTATGCTACATTGGACCCTGACTCTGGGTCTGGACACCTTTTCCTCTGTCATTCGTTCTTTCATCCTGGTCAGGCCACGTGTTTACCCTGTGCAAGACCTTGGGCATATGAGATTCTCAGGCTGATATGAGATTCCCAGAGTGATGCTGTGTCCAGTTAGCTACCCAGAGAAAATGGCAGTGCTGCAAGCCAAACCAGCTCAAGCCAGAAGGATGGTGTCTCAAAGGGTGGCTGAGACCGCTGCAGTTTATTCCTCTCCCTTTTGAGGAATGACAGTGATCATCAAGCAGTTGTTCAGCCCATGCTTTGACTCTTCAGCAACTTGGGCTGCACATTTATTGTGGTCCTGGTTACCCTTTAAAGTAAAGCTTTGGACTGTACAGCCCAGGGTTGCATTACTCTTACTTTAAGCTTTGCTCTAGAGGAGAAGCTGGTAGATTTAAACTCAGTCTTAACAGTGCTGAGTCTTGGAATGTGCTGGTACAGTCCTTTGCTCTCTGTAGAGGCTCTGATACAGAGCTCCTTTACAGCAGCCCAGAAAGTTTTCCCTCAGGCTTGCTGAGATACTGGTCTCCTACCAGGACCTCCTTTGAAACTGGAAAATTCTTACAGTTATCAGATCTGCCAAAAATGCCAAGGAAGGAGAGAGAAATATTAGAAGATTGCAGTTTCCCAATCTCCATTTCTATCCCAGTACTTCCCCCAGGTTGTTGTGGAAGTCTGTGGCTGTTTTGTACCTGTGTGTCATGGTTTGAGCCTGGCACAGAGCCAGTGCCCCCCATGAAAATGCCTCACCCTGGTGTCTGCTGTGAGATGTGAC